CGCCGCCCGCGCGCGCCTCCAGCCGCCGTTCCCTGCCGCGCCGCCCGCTGCCATGGCCTCCCCGCGCCGCGGCTGCACCAGCTCCGGCCACCGGAGCTCGTCCTCGCCGCAGATCCGGTCTCCCCTCGCCGAATCCGGCCACCCCCGCCAACTCCGGCCATCCTCCGATGAGATCCGCCCGGGCGGATGAGATCCACCAGTTCGGCGAACCAAACGCGCCCACGCCCGTCCCGGATCGCCTCGTCCCGCATCTCCCCGTCCACTTCTTAGAGGGTATAATTTTCACTGTCCCCGAAGTTTCCAGATTCATGTGCCCATATTCATCGCATCATAACTTTGCATCCGTAGCTCCGTTTTGGGCGTGTAGCATATCAAATTGTTCGTCTGGATGTGCACTTCATTTCATTCCATTGCACCATGTTCATTTGAGTTCATCTTGATGCCCTAAATGCTGTTGCAAGAGTTCTATGTAATGTTAGGTGCTGATTCTTATTAGTTTATGGACATTTGTCATTTTTGCCATGATTAATGTGTGCTGCATATGAGTATGAGCTCTGCATGTGTTTTGTTATATGCCATGCCATCTTTACAGGGGTGTATGCCATGTATTTTTGTGATCAATGTGGTGACTAGCACTAGCATGCAAAGTAGCTCTCGTGATGTTGCTGATTTCAGGGACTTAGAATTCCTCCAAGTCATTTCCCTGGTGTTATTTTTATGCCATGTATTCATGTTGCTACAGAGTGATCCATGCCTCTTTTGAGCATGTTCAGTAAGGATGTTTTTGAGATATTGTTATGTTCTATCCATCCATGTCTTTGTTTGCAATTATGGAGTGCCATAGCATGACTCAATCTTGCTCTACTTTTGCTATAAAATGTTTCTGGCAGATTGTTTACGTGTTAATCAATTTTGCCGAGGTTGTTGTAGTTGATCCATGCATGCTATGATAGTGTTCTTGCCATGGTTAGCTACTTGATCATGTCTTCTTGCTGGGTGTATGCTTAGTTTGTCATGCAATGCCTTGTGGTGAGTGCATCGAGCTCGTTAACATGCCTTCATAACTCTGTTTATGCCATGTCCCGTTTCTGCTAAGTCTGAATCTGTTAACGGAACTTGCTATGTTTACATGGGTGCCATCATATCTTCTGATCCTTTTTGGCTTATAGTCAGTAAGGGATTTTTGTTATATGCTTTGAGTAGTTTTATGCCATGCCTTGCTTTGCCATGTAATGTTCCTGTAGCATGTTGTTATCTTGCTCTAAACATTGCTTCCTGGTGTTAATTCCTGACATGTTATTTTCACTAAGTCTGAGATGTTGTTATCTTTTGCATTTTTGCCATGCTTGTTTGAACCTGCTATTGTGTGATTTAGCCGTAGCTCAGTGTTCATCTTTTGTCAAGCATCTTGAGTGGATCACTGCCATGTGCTTTGTTGCTATGTTGGAGTGTAGTAGCTTAGTTTCTTGTTGCATTTTAGATGGCATCATGTTGTTAATCGCAGGATTGTTCCATTCTTGTCTTGCTTGCCATTTGCAAACCATGCATCCGATTCCGGTGATCTTTATATCGATTTCGACCTAAATCAACTCATCTTTCCAGCGGCACTCTTGGTTTGCCAAGTTGAGGCCTGGTTCAATCTTTTCCTTCCGGAGCACGCATATGCATTGCATATTACATCCCGCATATCATGCCATGTTTTGCATCATGTTGCTTGCGCATTGCATCGTGGTTGATTGTTGTTTCCTTTGCTTGTGTTCTTGCCTTGGGTAGAGCCAGGAGACGAGTTCGTGTTCAAGGAACCGTTGAGTACGCTTACGAGGTTCAAGCTTTCGTCTACTCGAAGAACTTTGCAGGCAATATGACCATACCCTCGAAATCACTTCTATCTTTGCTTGCTAGTTGCTCGCTCTATTTCTATGCCTATGCTGCGATACCTACCACTTGCTTTATCATGCCTCCCATATTGCCACATCAAACCTCTAACCCACCTTGTCCTAGCAAACAGTTGTTTGACTATGTTACCGCTTTGCTCAGCCCCTCTTATAGCGTTGTTAGTTGCAGGTGAAGATGGAGTTTGTTCCATGTTGGAACATGGATAATTGTTGGGATATCACAATATCTCTTATTTAATTAATGCATCTATATACTTGGTAAAGGGTGGAATGCTTGGCCTTTTGCCTGGTGTTTTGTTCCACTCTTGCCGCCCTAGTTTCCGTCATACCGGTGTTATGTTCCTTGATTTTGCGTTCCTTACGCGGTTGGGTTATAATGGGAAC